AGAAACTTAAAATTTTTTAAATTTCTTGTATAGAATTAAGAACTCAATTTTTGTACAGGTTTAACATATATTATGCTTTTTGAACATATTTTTTTCTTATAAATAAGTTTTGTGGCAGAACTATATCTTTTGTTGTTTGTTTTTATAGAATATATTAACATAAATGCACTTATGACATTCGATGTAAATAAAACCTTAGTAATTTTTTAATTTTACATTGCTTAATGCAAATCTATTTGTACTTTTTTACAAGAAAACTATCAAAAGTCTTATGATATAATTTCAATAAGCTACTGGTGTTTATTATACTACTTTAAATACAAGTACTAAAAGATTTTGAGGATATAAATAATTTAATAGATACAGTTTTTGTGAAATATTTTAACTGTGAAAAGAAAATAACATATTTATAATAACATGCACAAGTAAAATAATAGTTCAGCTTTTTGAGATCATGAATTTAAATTAAAACTATATTATAAGACACTAAAAGAATGATATTAAAGTATTCAAGTATTCTTTATTTGGATGTAAATGACATGGAAATATGTTGTCACGATCATCATTCTTAACATCTATTTTTTACACATGTTGTTACCCATCAATCCTAGTTTCTGAGATATCTGCAAAAATATTGCTGAGGTTTGGGTCTGCGTCCTCTTCTCAGGTACCTCATCCGAACATAATTTAAACTACTGCAACCATATTCTATGCATTAAAAGTATGATGTGGAATGACAAAACTTTTATTACAAATATCTCAGAAACTAAACCTGTATGGTGATAACATGTGTGTAACATGATAATATGATAACATGATAACATGATAACATGATAACATGGTAACATGGTAACATCTTCATGCATTTCTACAACGTATTGTAATTGTATGAAAATTGGTAACTTCATCCACACATTACAATGTTACCAATTATTTTAAATAAATGTTGTTAGAATTGACAATAGTTATTGAAATAATAAAAAATTAATTTACTCTTCTTAACCATCTCTGCTATTTTTGATACTAATAAAGTAAATAAAAATGTAGTGGTATTGATAATATTATATGATTTTGAAGTATTATGGGTTCTTATAAGTTCTTTTTAATCCTAGTGTATAACTAGGATTAATGTTTTGATCTGGTCATGTAGGTGAATGTACATAAAGTGTTAATGTAATATTAATTTTATATTATGGTAGAATAAACGTGTATTTCTTTGGTGTATACTAAAAGTATACATTACAATTTTGGCTAAAAGTAGACACACCATAAAATATGAATTCTTTAAATATTAAACAGCATGATAATCACTGTATACATATATAGTATTTGTTATGGAATTTGTTAAAATACATTTTATCAAATTTCATATTTTTAAAAATTGTTTAAAAATGTTTGCAACAAAAGTAAATCAGCATTTAATCTTCTATAAATATCAATATAAAAAATTTAAAAAATTTTTTTTAAGTTAAGGTCACCCGGATTTTTAAGCGTCATTACATAGTTTTAACTTCATAATATTAGCTGACGTTAAGACGAATTCAGTGATTTAACATGTTGTCATTCAGAGTTTTTAAATAACACTGAACTAATTTTAGCAATCAAAAACGGATTTCCAAACCACTGTGAACTGGTTTGAATCTTTTATTAATGACTACCTCGATCTTATTAGCTTCATGATTTTAAAGTCCGATTTGAAATCATCATTTCATTAAGTAAATCATAATAATTGGATTTGGTTGTGGGTCACCAGTGATCCTATGCTATTCAATATGTTAATCAGTGAGAACTTAAATCTGACCAATAATAAGAATTTTTCAAAGTCACTTCGACACAGTTTGAAAAATCAATGAACATTTAAACACAGAATATGAAACTTGCATTTAATTTAGTAACCATGTCGAATTTCATCAGCGAACAAGGTATTTTTCATGCATACTTAATATCGGTACCCCAATTTTTTCTTTACTGTGCGTCGTCTCGTGAATTACAAATGCTGAATACTACGATAACCGTGTATTAGATTAAATAATTCGAATCTACACGATCTACCACAACAACTCACAATCAACGATTAGATGATAAAATTCAGTGTTCACAAAAAACCTTTGGAATTACGCTTGTATAGATCGTCGTTGTATCCAATATATAAAAATTATTTAAAAATGAAGACTATAAGATGTAACTAACGTAAATGTTAAAAGTTTTTGATTTTTGTTTGAGATTGAATTTTGTTGAAATATTAGGAGGATGTAAAGATTCTGAAAATATTGTCTTTAACGGTGATGTTCGTTTTTACTTAAGTGCTTATGTACCTGTATGAGTAAAATTGATGGAGCTTTTGGAGCGAAGGAACTCTTCGCGAAAGATATCAACGTTCATTACACTGTATAAAAGTGATTGTGTGTGTTTCAATGTTGTCTCAAGCTATTATCGAGAGATATTATTAAAATCGTAAATTCAAAGTGCTGTAGCGCAAGAATATATCGATATTTCGGACGGAATATCGTCAATAAATAAATTATAATGTTAACAGTTGGTTCGAATAGGATGGACCGACGTGCTACACAACCATTGTCACCATTGTTGCAATTTAAGAATTGTTCCCTGAGAAGATTAATTTTCAGACGGAGTAACATTAATTTTAATTTATGCGCATCAAATTTTTTTTACACGGATATCTTAAAGATAAAATATACGAGAACTTTCCAACAACTATTATGGAATTAAAGGCAAACATCGAGGAACTTTCACTTCATAAATTCGTATACGAGGATTGCGGAATACCAGAGACGCAACTGGGAATATGTTCACTTTTTTATTTTATCAATATACAAATTCCATGTATACTGTTGTATGTAAATTGAAGGTTTAATTTTATGATCCATCTTAATAACAAATGTATGTCATTACTGTGTAATAATATGAAGTGTTAACGGTGGGGTAACATAAGCTATACGTAAGAAAAGATTTGTGAACGGTCCATAAAACTAATCTTTTACATTTAAATAGTAAAATTGATCCGTTTATCTAGAGTTATGTATTATTAAACTATTAATATAATATTGGTTGATGCAAAAGTTTGTCTCGTTTTGTGATAAAAATTGAAAAAGAATTTTATTTACGACAAATTACATTTAATCAGTATAATATGTGCTGTTCTGTTCAATGTCCTTTCTCCATTTTTCCGGTAGCTGCATTATCCCGCGTTCATAGAAATTCTGTGGGTTTTGCCCAAAGAACTGATATAGGTGAGTTTTGCAGTGTTCCAATGAAGTAAAGGTTTTATCATCTAAGCTGTTTTAAAGCGATCTGATATGGTGGTAATCGGAGGGTGTAAGATTGGGGAAGTACGGTGGATGGATCAAAACATCCTAACCAAGTTATAAGAGTTTATAATTCGGTGGCCAAAGACACGTGTGGTCTAGTGTCACGGTGTATGACTCAGGTTTGAATAAAATGAAATATTAGTAGACTATCTGTATAAGAAAGGTTTTATCAACGTTTAAAGATTCAATTTATGTATCATTACATTTAACATGTATCGCTAGGTAAAGATGTGCAGTCGGAAATAAAAAATTAAAGCCACCCATAGTTTTCAACATTTCTCGCGGTAAGCGGAAATTAGAAGGCTAAAATGTAATTTAATAATATCTTTTATTAACTATTAAATTATATACAGATATATTAAATAAATAAATATTAATAATTTGTGTCTTCTCCTCCTTTGTTTTTATTACAGCATTCACCTTTTCTGACATACTGCATGTGCGTCTGGTAACCATGTCTTTGACTTTGAGACAGTTTAGCCAAATTTCAACAATTTTGCTTTTAAATTTGTTACTGTAATGGCAGATGATACGTACACAAGAATTTTCAGTAAACTCCAGATATTTTCAACGGGATTCATGTCTGGAGAATGTAGAAACAAATTTTACTGCTCTGATAACAAACTCTTAATAATAGAATATTATGTACAATAGTATGCATATAACTACTATGAAAATATGCAATATATATACATCTTTAAGTAGTTAATAAAAATTAATACTAATTACATTTTAGCCTCTTACTTCCACGATTACCGCCAGAAAACTACGGGTGGTTCTAATTTTTTTATTAGGGACTGTAGAATGACGACAAGCAAAAGTTTCGATTTTGGCATCCTACTGGTTTATTTAGAAGTTCGGGGTCTTTTATACATAGGTTGGGTAACGGAGCGAGGATTTCGTATCTTATTGGCAGAATATGACACTAGCGTTGTCTTGTTGAAACATAATGTCCTTCCTAACGGTTAATTCAAGTCGCTTCTGGTCGACTGCTCGCTTTAGTTCACTTAATTATGAACAGTATTTCTCCGAATTAATTGTATGATTTTCAGGTAATAGCTCATAACAAACGATTCCCCTTCAATCATTAAGTGCATAACACAACCTTCTGGTGTAAATTGGCTTTTGCACTGATTGAAGAGGATCACCGCGCTTGGACCATGATCTCTTTCGCTTAACGTTGTTATAGACAATCCATTTTTTATCGTCTGTAACTATACGCTTAAAAAATGGATCGATTTCGTTGCACTTTAATAGAGAATTGCAAGCAAAAATTCAGTTTATTAGATTTTTTTCGTTAACTTAGGCAACGATTTTGATTTCTTGTTAATGAATGAATATTTCAATATTTCTAAAATTGAATTATATTTTATTTTTTAGTAAAAATGTTATCTACTATCAATAAACATTTAAGCTCAGAATATTATCTGCTGTCGATAAACATTTATCAGCTTTACAATAAAATGCCATCTAGCACCAAAACGGAACGAGCTTTTGCATTAACCCAATATTAAATATTTTCTACGATTGCATGTAAATAAACAAGAACAATTACTGTTAATATATTTCAATAAAAGTTTATAACGTTTGTTACAGACGAGCATAGTCAGTTTGTTATATAGTAAATGGGAAATCTTCATGAAGGAGGTCTACTTGTTCGAAAGACTCGATACAAACAGTCGTAACGAAGAAGTAAAACACCTGAAATGTATAGTGTTCATAAGGCCAACAAAAGAAAATATTGAATTATTACGCAATGAACTGAGGTATCCTAAATATGGAACATATTATATTTGTAAGTAATTTTATAGTATTTTTATATTTGATTTAATATCTTTGATACTTTGCATCGGACATAATTGTATGAACGAATTTAATCTTCAAGAAGATATCGAGGTTCAATCGAAAGCTGTTCGCAATCCTCAGTTGAACGTGTTCAAAAATGTATTTTGGCATACTTGGAACTTGAAAAATTGAAAAAATACTTCGAAAATTGAAAAAATTAAATGTTAAATAGCTTTTTAAATATCGACTGTTGAAGAAAATAGCTGAATATGGGTTGACTTATTTTTACTCTAGATTCATTAAAAAATTTTTTATCAAAAATGATGATCCAACAACTGTGACGTTTCCTTGTTAGATAATTTCTGGCTCAAGAATTTGATAAATGCAACATTTTTAAGTTTATATGATGCCTAAGTTTTACAGCAAACGCAACAACTGATCGGCAAGACCTTTGGAAATAGCTTCTTTAATTCTCGGAATAATATAAATGTTCGTACAACGAAAACTTTGGAAATAGCTTCTTTAATTCTCGGAATAATATAAATGTTCGTACAACGAAAACTTTGGGTTCACAAAATGTGAAACCAATCTTGGACATCCCGTACCTTGAAAAATAATTGTCAACTAAACTTAAAAATGTTTAGTGATTAATGTTTCATTATAATGTAAAATTTGGGATAAAAATCAATTCCAAAATCGGAGGCTCCAAAATGGGCGAAAAAAATCCCTCATTTTGCGTCATTCTTTGTAAATATGAGTTTCACCAATTCTTTTTCCACTTTAAGTTTAATTTTCTAAGAGATACGACTTTATTGTTTCTGATCATTGTATAAATACCTTGGTAAAATTCTAAATTCTTATTGATCGTGATTTGATTGTATCTGTGACTGCTAGCGTAAATTAAATTTTAAATTGTCAGATATCACTCACGATACTGGTCATTTTATTAAAGACGTCGTAAATACATTCGATAATAAGATCTTGCTAATTCTTGTTTCCTTAGAATTTTTCTATTACAGGCAGGTTAGTAGATTTATAATAACTATCCATACAATTATCAATAAATTATAACTTATTAACAACTTTTTATATAATTAATGATATGTCTGTCACCTTCAAGAAAAATTGTTTGGTACATTTTACATGTTCTAATATTTTCAGTATACTTATCAGGTAAGTACAAGTACAGTTGCCTCTAATTTATTAATTGGACTTCTCTTATTGTACATCTATTTCTTCGTACGAATTTTCAAAGTCACGAAATTCACATCTTCATTATAATTATAATTATGATTATAATATTAGAGCATCAGTTATAATGCTCAGTTACAAACTGTATCATAGTCGATATACAAAATTAATTACCTCGTTATTAATACTGATAATAAACGAAACAGTTTTCAGACAGAAAGTCATGTGAAGGTCAATTTTGCTTCTTTAAATTGAACCCTTTATTTTTCTTACACTAGTCGATGTACCTGTTTACTCTATATAAAAAAAAGTATAGTTATATCGTAAAATTAATAATTGAGATAATAATTTAAGTAATGGACCGTTATTCTTTTTTATTGTAAATAATGATTCCCTTCTCGGGATACAGAAGTTTTTAATTTACAGTTTTTAATTTAAAAGCTTGTATAATATGAATATTGTCGACAGAATAGCAGAAAAATAATATTTCTTTTGTATCGGTTCTGAATTATTAAACATTTATAAATAAAAAAGCAAAGCTTCTGTCACAACTTTTGTACTTTTAATTTTCATTTCATTTCGTCTTTATCTTTAAAACTATTTCTTATCTCTAGCACACAGATATATGAAAAAACATAAAATTAATCTTATGTGATGTGTAAGAAATTATGCTAAAATAAATTTCATTGTTGCATCTATTTCTTGTTATTGTATGTAATTTGTCATTACAGCGATACTTTTATAGATTTCAGTAACATTATCGCAAATGCTGACATTAAACTGTTGGCTGAAAGCGACGAACAAGAGGTGGTGAAAGAAGTGCATGAATATTATGCAGATTATTTAGCTGTCAGTCCGCATTTATTTTCTCTTGGTATCACCGGCTGTTCACAAGGTAACTTTTGCTGTTCAATAATTCAAGTAAAAATTGTGCAATAAGATGGCATTATTCTGCTATGTTATTTAATTCAATTATATTACCTATAATTATATACAAGGCGTATGCTATAACTATCGCCATGATCTTTCCTGGGCTTCTACTTGTCAAAGAAAATGTTCCAAACAAAAATCAATCTTTTTTTAATCGACTATAAACTACAATATACGAAATTCTGGAAAAAATTTGCATTCGATAAAAATTCAAGATCATTTTAAATGCCACTATGTATGTTTGTCATCACCATATTGTAGTCGACGTCAAAATGAAGTCAACGACCCTACAAGCTATGACCTGGATATAATTTTGAAATTTGAAATTTGGGATTGATGAAAGGCATAGTTATTATGGTAAATTATATTATTTTTACTAAATCAAATCGTGTTTACTTATGAAGGATGCACTTTTGACTTTTGATTAAACAAAGTTTTCTTCGCAATTTCTTACACTAATTTACGACCTACTAAAAATAGATTAATTTTTGTGAAATGGCATGCCTGGAAGTCGGTGGTCCTTTCTATGTTTATTTTACTGAGAGTTTTGATGGTTTTGTTTTTGTTAGTATTGTCTAGGAGCCTGGATGGGTTTGAGTGTTATTATATATTTGGAAAGTCGAAAATGAGTATTTGTCTTTTGCGTGAGTTAGATGAGCGTTTGGGTGATTTTAGATCTTTTTCTTTTGTACATTCTACATTTGTTTGATGTATTGAAATTTAAAAATATATTTTCGCAACGTTATACATTATATTCCAAAAATTTTATTAAAAGAAATACTTTTAATGAATTTTTAATGCTTTTTTAAAACCATCATATAATAATTTTTCGACGGACACTTGTTTTTTCCTCTAAAAGTATTCTTGAACAATTTTTTAATATGACCCGCAGCCAAAGTCAGACTTGTATTCGGCTCTTTATACTTGAAAGGTTGTCCATTACTTTTAGGATTATTGCTATTGTTTTTCCGTTTCTAGTATTACAAATTCTATTTCATATGTTTAACAGGATTACTATGGAATCCAGCACACTTGCAGCGAACCGTTTTAGGCATAATTTCCGTTCTGCTATCAATTAAAAGGTGTCCTTATATACGCTACCAAAGTAGCTCAGAAATGGCAAAAAGACTAGCAGAAAGAGTACGAGAAGCTCTGACGAAAGAATCAAATTCATTTAACTTTAGGCAAGAATCTAGTCCGGTTCTACTTATATTGGATAGAAGGGATGATCCTGTTACGCCATTATTAAATCAATGGACGTATCAGGCAATGGTTCACGAGTTATTAACTATCAATAATAACCGTGTTAATCTGTCACATGTAAAGGGTATTGCAAAGGAATTAAAGGAAGTTGTTCTCAGTGCAGAACATGATGAATTTTATGCAAATGTAAATGTATATTCTTGACTAACGATAAATATTGTTAACCCTTGGATGGCCGATCGTCTAGCAGTGATGAGAGCAATTGATGTTGAGTCATTTTGACTCATACTAAAATTTTCGAAATTTGTACTTCAGATTTCGGTTTCTCTATCAAAGTTATATATATAACATTATATAATATTTTATTGTACTATAAACGAATTGGTAAATTACGATAAAACAGGATAGACGAAAGAAAGAAGAAAAAATAAAATATAAAAGGACATTGAATGTATATATAGGAATTCAAAAATATGAATAGCATAATATATATATAAAAAATGTAATATGTTATTTAATAAATACAATGTGAGGAAAGTCAGTCGGCAGTGGTCGCCTGAGGGTTAATGTGTATAAGTGTGTACAGCTTTAAATTTGTTTTAAATAAAGTAAATAATTTTGAACAGAATTTATATCACAATTTTGGTGAAATTGGGCAAACGATAAAAGAACTGATGGACGAGTTTCAAAAGAAAGTTAAGAAACACCAAAAGGTGGAAAGTATAGCCGACATGAAAACCTTCCTAGAAACTTATCCCTTATTTAAGAAACTATCCGGTACTGTCTCGAAACATGTAACAGTAGTTGGAGAACTTTCATCATTAGTAGAACGACACCATTTACTGCAAGTATCAGAATTAGAACAAGAACTCAGTTGTCAGACTGATCATTCGATGCAGGTATTGCATTTTAAGGCATTTACTGATATTTTATTTACTGCAATATATATTACACTTTTAACTTCTTTTACAGTTACAAAAGATAAGAGAACTTATCAATAATCAGCAAATTAGGGAAATTGATATGACGAGATTGGTAATGCTGTACGCCCTTCATTATGAAAAACACGCGAGTAACGATATTAGTGGATTAATTAGTTTACTGAAGAATAAAGGGGTGTCGGAGAAAAATATTAAGGTATAGTAAAACACAACTTATTTAACAAGAGTTTTGCTGACATCAAATTGCTTGGAAGCTATTAAAGACTCTCGAATAAGTAAATGTGTAAATGTGTACACAATGTTGGATCTTTCACTTCTATATAAGAATACGCGATTGATTAGAAAATAAAATTGATTGGCAATAGAAAATTATTCAAAATTATATTCAGAAAAAATAAATAACACCTAGATTTTTCAAATTCAGTCGAAAATTTTCATCATGAGTCTAATACGGTATCATAGGTGAAGGGGTTAAAAGTCTATCATTGGTGAAATTGTACTCCTGGCAATTTTTCTTTTAATACTGTTAAAAAAATATAATAACTGTTAATAACATTTTTTTAGACATTTCATTGAACAACTACATACGATAATATTATTATAGAATATACCATTAACGTAATTTTTAGGAATGGTTCCAGATAATTATTGGTAATAGCCATGATTAAACACGACTTATTAAAATAGAAAGATTATAATGATAATTAAATACAATAACAATTAGATTAACGGCTTTTTCACTTTATTATAATAAAGAATTTTTTAATTATATAAGTCAGACTTTTATCATATAAATAGTAATGAAGTTAAAAGTACGTAGTCAATATCACAGGTGTCATTTCTAATTTCAAATATAATTTTTAAAATGTTTTAGTTTATACACCATATATTAGAATATAGTGGAATTAATTCAAGACATAGTAATTTATTTGATCGCGAAGCAGTAGCCAAGATTACGAGAAAATTATTCAAAGGTTTAAGCGGAATAGACAATATATATACCCAGCATACGCCTCTCTTGAATGAAACTCTCGAGGACTTAATGAAAGGAAAATTAAGTCCACAAACATTTCCATATCTTGGAAATATGGTAATATCAAAGAGGTAAGAGTGCATTATTGTAATGAAATGAAAATAAACGTTGTACATTTTTCTGCAATGTTAGGTATTAATTAAATGATTATTCTCCCAGGCCGCAAGAAATAATTGTTTTTATGGTTGGTGGTACGACTTATGAAGAAAGTTTGGCTGTGTACAATTTAAATAAACAAAATCCAGGAATAAAGATTATTTTAGGTGGTACCAATGTCCATAATTCTCAGAGCTTTTTAGAAGAAGTGCAATGTGCTACGTCAGGCATTTTATCAAAGTACAAAAATAATAATAATTAAAAATTATCTAATTGTATATTTTTTATTAAAATATTTACTTCTGCGAATTTATGATCACGAAGAATCGATGTAAGTTATTCTTTTGTAAGAAATAATGTATTATTAATTACTATATTAAATCAAAGCTATTGCAACAACAAATAAAATGGTACATTCATTTTTTATTGAAAAATATCCTTACTACACTCTGATTTATGAAAGGTAGGCTCAACGTTTTGCGGTGTTGCCGGGTTCTCATGCATCATGCACATTACTAAAAATATACACAAAATATTTGTATAATATAATCAGCGAAGTTCTTATCATTTTTTGAACAATTAATTTTTAGATCTGAAAAAATCAGAGCGTTGTCCCATATAAATATTGAAAATTATTTTCCATAAAATTATAGTTACCGCACTTCTTACTATCACACTTAATAATACTCCCCACGGCGGTTGTTTTCTTTCTTGAGCCTGAAATGAAGTATCTCACGGCAGACGATCGATGTATTCTTTTGCACGCTTAATTCTAATTTGATTTAACCTTAACGAATAACTTAAACTATACAATCATCGTAGTGATAAATTAAGTAGCAAATTTTATTTAGAAAAGTTCTTTGCATAACAAATAGTTTAGGACAGCGTTTCTCAACCTTTTTACACATACAGATCGGCGAAAAAGGAAGAAATGTTTTGTGGATCAGATAACGGCCAAGACAGAAAGAAAAACCAACATGGATGGTAATTGTAATAATAGTATTCGTACTTACATTAATTTATATCTAAAAGCGGTATGAACCTTTATAAGAGTGTTCCAGATCATATCTAGTAGTTCAAATCATTTAAATCATTTTAGCCTTTTATACATAAATAAAGCAATATGAAATATGTTTCAACATATTTTCTGCAAATAAATTCACTGGTCAAGGTGTTAATTAAAAACTTAATTAAATATTACATATTCGTGAATTCTCTGTCCCTATTTTTACGTCCACACCGAAATATTTTAATATAAAGCATCCACTATATAACAACATGTTTATTATTTAATTTGTCAATTATTAAGGAATGATTATTAAACAATAATGTAACTACTTTATTATTATTCATTTCGATAAATAATTCAACGAATAAAAATATAAATCTAACAATGGAATAAATGATTTACAAACACGATTAAAAGGGAAAAAAGTTGAATGTATAAGATACGGAAAACTGATACAAATTATGTGACAATATCGCAAACAATCGTGAAATGCAAACACCAAAATACTACGAAACATACAATTCCGTAAATAAATGGTAATAAACTTTGCCTAGAGAAAATTGAAAAGCAATTTTCTGTTTTCTTATCTTCCACTTTCGAAATTTTTATGTGAATATTCGAACATGTTTTACTCGAAACTCTTTCTATGCAACGTATCCGCTGTGTTTTTTTGTTATCCATTTTTTGAATCAACAACTCCATTAAGGATTTTACATCTTTCAAAACGGTAGAGGATTCTTTTGAACCGTCTTTTGTACTTTGTTCATTATATATATTTACGATTGGCGTTGAAACAGATCTCGAAATTTCGTATTCAGACTCGTCGCTTGACGATGCAATTTCCAATCTCGACAAAATGTTCACAATATCTTTACCAGAATGGCAACTGTCTCTTATGGTGATGTCAATACTGTCACTTTTCGGTGAACTCCTTAATATCTCCTCATATTTGTTTGATGTCTTGTTTCTTGCCTTTTGAATTTGTATTCTATCTTCTTGTTTTTTTAATTTGCTTTCTATATGTTTTTGGTAGATGTAAATCGCTTTGTACAAATTCTCAACTTGAATCGAAGCACTTTGTAAAGCCGCTAGTGTTTCGTTAGAAATAAGCTTATCAAGATTATTCAATTTTGCGTCTATTTTAACATGGCAATCTGAATTCTTTAGATACTCGGATGATTGTTTTAAATGACTTGATGGCGTCAGTTCGTGAAAATGTAATTCGTAATCATCATCATGTTGCTCACAATTTGATAGAAACACATCACTACATTCCTCCATTTGATTCAAGAATTTCTTACAATGTTTTGTCTTTGAATGTTGTTTACCTTCAAGTTTAATGCTCTCAGAATATATTTCATTGGATGTGTTTATAATGATATCAGTGGAATTTTTCTCAAAACTCTGTTCTAACTTTTTTGGCAAATTCGACCATTCCGTGGCTACCAATTTAGAAGCACAGGAAACTTGTACAACTTGTGTGAAACTGTCTGTAACTGAAACCGAGTCTGTCATCGATGAAGCATTGTTACTCTTATCTGTAAATCTTGTTGTATTTTTATTTTTTATGCAACAATCGATTGCAGCATGTTTAACCGAGGCCATTTCCGTCTGTGTTTTCATTGTTCTTTGTTTTGTTGCCAATGGAGTATCTTCCTCGAAAACAACTTGTATGCCTTTATTTTCTGTTTCATGAAGCCTCGTCTGGGAAGACGCATCTTTATTAATTTTCTCTTCACAAAAAGTGAAAGTGTCTTTTGTTTGAGGTATAGAATACGTCAGACTTGTTTTGTAATGTTGAGCTATTTTTCTTGCAGTGTCTTCTAAATCTGTACAATCCTGTGAATTTTCATAATTTTTCACGATTTCCTTTGAAGTCCTTTCCTGATAATTGGAATTCTTCAATGAGATTTCTGAACCTTTAATGGGTTGAATATTAAAGATTACATCAGCCAAACTCGCAGACTTTTTCTTCAAACAATTACGATATTTCTGTTTATTTTTCATGTATCGTTCAGCCGTGTTCACCAAATTAATGTCTACTCCTTGTTCGCAAAGAAATTCTTTGAGCATAGTCAAGGACATTACTTGTGAAGTTGAAATAGATCTTTCTTCGTTAGCAACTAGTGATTTTTTGAATTTTTCTTTTATTACTAAATCATTGATTTTGTCTTCGATGAAATTGGGAGTATGTAATTCAGAGTAACTACTTTCTTGTATTTTCTTTTGTTTAATGGTGCTCAATGGGGAAATAATACCAGGAGAAGTCGAACAACACTTCGAGGACACTAATCTAGTTATATAATCCGAACTCGAAGTGAAATTTGCCGTGCAACTGGTATTAGTTGCGGAAGGGAAATTGCAATTATTCTTTAGTTGAGATTTTTCCAGAGGAAAGCTTGATTTTGAATGTGTATCTTCATTATCGTTCGTTATAGAGGATGACACAGAATTTGTTGACGTTATTACAGCTGTTGGAAGATGTGAAATTTCTTCATTTAGATGCTGCCGTTTACGAAACATTTCATCTTTAGATTGACTTTTAATTATTTGATTCGAATCAATGTCTCTTGTAGGTTCCTCTTCCGGAATCTTTACTTGTTCCTTGATTGAAGTGGAATTTGTTTTAGTTCGATATTCATAACGATCCGTCGACTTATTTGTACTTCTCTCAGCTTTTTCATCAGTTGGTGTAGATTTTATGATTTCCTTTAGTTTTTGAAGAACTTTGGACTCTCTGGAGGGATTTTGTCGAGTAACTCTTTCCAAAGATGGAGCCTTTTCACTGTTTTTTGAAGACGGCGACTCTGATCGAGAAGAATCTTTATGTTTTTTGGAAGATACTTTTAATATTCCTGGTTTTAGTTTAAATTTGGACGTGGTTTCTGGATTCATGAATTTTACCGAACATGTTTCGGCGCTGACTTTCTTTTTCAGCTCACCTATTTTTCCTCGTTTCACTTCCCTGAGAAAAATATTGGAAATTATTTTTTATTGAGTTGTTTCCTATGTTCATGCTATTTTTTCGAAATATAATTTGTTTATAATGCCACTGTTCGTGCTAACCCTTTACACTTTAGAAGGTTTTTACTAGAAATACTCAACGTTCTACGATGAATTACTTACACACGACATTTTTTTCAACTAGCTTAACGAGAAATCGTAAATAAATTAAGAAACAAAACATAAAATAAATATTTTATGTGCTGATGCATTATACAAAGCTTAATATTAAATATCAAACTTCATAATTTTGCTGCTTCAAATTAAGTGGCGACTGAGAGACGCATCTGGAGTGTAAAGGGTTAAATGTTATCTATTCTTCCATAATTACAAGATCATGTTTTCAGACTCAATATTCATAATTGATAAACTATCCGTTGAATTTCATAAAAGTCTTACTTCATATTTTCCATTGGTTGATTCAGCCTTTCATTGACTTGGGTAAACAGAAGTCGACTCTTTTGTGGAAAAACAGTAACATTGCTTAAGGATGGAAATTTTATTGCACCACCCGGTCGCCATACTGGCTGTAAATTATTAACAGCACGACACTTTTGTCTAGAGACTGGTTGTTTTAATCGTTTGAAGTTCATACTCTGCGTTGGTTTTTTAAACAGCTTTCCTTTCTCGGGACAACGAACATTGTCGTTCAACTTCCTCTCGATGGTTTTATTTTGACCATCTACCAAATTTTCTTTTTCTCGATATTTTTGAGTACATATGGATTTCATACATGCTTTGGACTTTGGTCGTTTCAAGACACTATTTTTAAACACCTCTGTCTCGACGTTACTCTCTTTCTTCGAAAAATTCGCTTTTAAGCCTTTTGCTTCGGCAACTCCACTTTTTTGCCTGTAACTTACAATTACCTAAATTGATGTAATATTATAAATGTTTGCACAATTTTATGTGAATTTTATCTAAAACTTTGAATGTTGTGTCAGTTACCGATGGCTAACACTTCCCATTGGAGTCGTGGGTATCACCGGTGACCCACAACCAAATCGAATAAAGTAATTCGTTCAACTAAGAAATGATTGTAAATTAAAAGTGATGACATTCAGCAAGATATATGTGTAAGGAGCATTAATATATGTGTAAGCAAATAATTCATTCATTCGTTAAAAATTAGTAAACTAGTGAATGTTATAAAAAATGTACGACACCTAATGATGATAAACTGAAATTAGTGTAGAAAATAAACATTGAAAGTAAATAAATTTATAGGGCGGTTCATTAACTCACATTAATTTAATTTAGTTAATGATCCTAATTACCTTAGATTTCTAAGATTTTCCTTTTCTTTGTTCTCAGCTATAATAGTTTTTAACATATTCGAAATGACTTGCATTATATCACATATTTTGTTCAACCCATGGTCCCAAAATGAAACAACTTCATTTGTAATTCTTCTCTATGTGAATTTATATAAATATTTGTTATACAATCGTAAATCGCAAAATATTTGTTATTTAAATTTAATTTTTATTTTATTACTTTTTCATATAAATTCCTTTCTTGACGCCATTTCAACTGCATGCTATTTATTTGTTGTTCTACAATAGAATTTTTAATCATGAAAAGGGTTATGTTTATATTTGTTTTAAAAAAAATATACAAATATTATCCAAACCCTGTTTTTTCAAAAGAATTTGATTTTGATCTACTGCTTTTACTAATTGAAAGATCAAATTTGACAAGCTTCTAGTGATCATTGCCTCAGCTTTGTAGTTGTCATTTGAATCATGAATATAACTCTTGCACCTGGTAGATAAGTGGTTCAGAATAACAAATCAACATAAAACATACACAAAGTGACATAAAAGAAACAATCATAATGCAAGGAGTTAATACTGTCATACCTGGAAATAATTCTGGTCAGAAGACACAAGGCCATTGTCGAACGAACAGAATCAATTGAACCTCTGCTCTGCAACTTTATCCAAATACTTTCCATTTTTTGAAAATTAATAAATAATTGTTCATGGATTTTCATCAATAAATCACATATTTTTATGTTCCCCCTATTATTATCGTCTGTTTTGTTCTTTTCCCTTATACCATCTCCAAAATCATCTATTACGTATTCCGTTATTTTTTGTTTGGAATTTTGATTTCCTTCATTTTGCCTACTATCAACTTGCAGTAATCCTTTCTTTTCATTACACGATCTGTTGTTATTTAAACTTTCTTCTTGTTTCTCTTCCATTTTAGTAATTATCTTTAAATTCTTGTTTTTGTTAACACTTTCCATTTCAAAATTCGATTTTCTCTTTCTCGTATCGATCATTGCCTCGTCTATGATCAAGGAATCAGCATCAGAATTTTTAATATTTTTAGATGAACCATTTGTATATTCGATGTTTCTGCTTGTACTCGAATTTACAAAATATTCATCATGCGTATCAATGGTAACATTTAGATCCTTTTTCTTGATTCCAATTAAATTCACTTCTTTCTTTGAAGTCTCGTCACATTCAGCACATGCAGCAAACTTTGTTTCATCATTTGCACACGTTTTTCGTGATTCTAATATTGCAGAATTATTTTCAATCGCAAAGGCATGTTCCTTTTTTGTTATATTTTGCGCCAGAGAATCTTTAGAGTCTACTGGCTTTTCAAGAAATCTATTTTGTGAACATTCTTTCGATAAATCCATCTCTTTTCCATCAATATATGATCTCTTGGCACCGTTAGAAGTAATGGAATTCATACTTCTATCTATATTTAATTTACAGGTTCCATTAAAATTTTTGACATTTGTGCTTACATTCTTCTCTTGAAGATCTCCCTTAATCGTCTGAACAGATAGAAATGATTCGTAAATATTTTTCTCGACATCCCTATTATTCTTTCCACATTTTGCATTCTCATTCTCAACAATATACATTTCCTTTTTCATTTGTTTCGATGCTATTTTTCTTAGTGGAGGAACATTCTCCTCAAAGAATACGGATTTGGAAGATTCGTTGTCCTCTTTTGGAAAACTCCTCATCGAGCTTCTTCTCTGATTCAAATCGGAAGATATTTGATCAAGATTGTCAATATTCTCTTTATTTCCCGGATAAATTTCGACCAACTCGAAAGGACAGCTGAAAAGAGCATCTTCGATAATTTTATCTCCTGACATCCTCCTGTTCACAAAAGATCCAGTTCTTTCTTCCAATTGATTCGATTGATTTTTCGTTCTTTTAGAACCAAAAGAAACTGATTTATCATCTGACATGAAAACTTCGTCAATGTTCGAGTCATTGGAAAGGGAAATTTCGTATGTCCCATTCGAAGAGCACCGAGATAAAGCATCTCTCTGGAAATGAATATTTGTCTGGGTGGGCGTGCTCTCCGATTGCGTCTTCTTTAAATTTGTTTTCGAATAAACTTTTAGTAAATTAGTACTCACGGAAATGTTTTCTTGTAAATGAGAAATACTTCTCGATTTCATCGTGAAATTTACTTCGTTTTCTTTATCCTCCACTAAATTTGATCTCGAGAAATAATCTGAAGCCCCGTTGAAATTCTTCTGACGCTCGTGTTTCTGTTCTCTCTTCCCGGATTTATCTATGACTGAAAATTTGCTTCTGAAACGTGTCTCCGAGCACAAAGTTTCATTGTAGATCAAATTGTCGGTGTTGAATTTAACGAACGGAGAGGTTAACCAGACTGAATTCATTGTTACGATATTATAATGCCATGAGATGATGAATTAGCGAAGCGGAAGATAGATTAGAAACCATTTTCTATTGACAGAATTTTGAATCTCTGGGGTTAGAAAAACATTGGAATAGTGCTACCGTGTGTATTATCAAATGTTTCTCATAAGCAGCAAACTTTCGATAGAACAACACTTCAGTAAAATGGATGTAATTTATTGTAGCGTAGAACGAAGCGAATCAGATCAGTTCGGATTTAACAGCGAAGAACTAATAGTTAAAACTTAGAATAAGCAATTTTTTTCATAAATTTTTTATTAATACACATTCAGCTACAATATTAGTAAAAAAAACTTTAGGAAACTTAAAAAAAAACATAAAAATCTTCATTTTATAAGCAAGTATTTGAAAAATGAGAAATATCTGTTTCACCCTGGCGTTTTGAGCAAATCGGGTTATTCGACAGCGTCAGAATACGTGGTAAAATCGCAAAACCTTGGATCTACCTCCAAGACCTCTTTTTCATAAAACAGACAAAACTAAAGAAAACTAAAGTCTAAATAAGTATTTTATACTTATATGTACATAATTGTAATATCTGTAAGTGTCTACAGGTAAATATTCTAACACATCTGGATTATAGTTTTTATTTTGGAGTATTCCAGTATTTGAACAATGTTTAGAACTATTGCACACTACTATGACGATCATCGCTATGAGATGGCATTAATAATTAAGTGTCTTGATATAAATGGTACATAATTTCCATTTTTTCCTCGAAATGTGACGTCTCCAATGTTGTTGTACTTTCAGAATAGTTACCTATTTGAAGGAAAGAATTATTATTCTCATACGTTTTCCACAACGTCGGGTAGCTCAGAAGAGTCGATGTCGGTATACTGAAAGTTAAATATAAAAATCTAGATTAATATTAAAATATTATTTTAAGTACTTGAATAATATTTTAAGCGTTCTCCATTCTCGTAACACATTCTCTTAACACAAGAAATTTATCAGGAACTTAGAATCTAATTGTATAAAGTTATTAAGTTATAGTTATAAGTAATTAAATTAATTTATATTAATATTAAAAATATCCACTCGGTTAATCCAGATATAAATTAATTTAATCTGAATTAACCGAATGGATATTTTTGACGGACTAGATCGACTAGAATTTTAGTTATTTGTATATTCAATAATTCAGATTGTCAAATTGTACCTCGGGATACGTACAATCGAACTCTGTTAGTCGCTGAATTAAGTCGGATAATCACGGTTCTACTGTATTACAATAAATATTCTCCTATTTCAGAAATTGTAAATATTTTTATGCAGAATAAATGTTATACGATGAAATTAAATAATTATAGAAGATTGTTAGTACCCTGTAATTACAAATGATGTCCACAGATCTACCATAAGTTCACTGATATTGTGATCAGCCACAGTCGGTTCAAACTTGTAAGTTAAATTCACAGGCTCCAATTTCTGTGGAAATAAATAAATTAGGTCATCATCCCATGTCTTATTGTCTTGCAAATACAACTCTGAAAAAGTGTCCCCATAATTGAATAAATAGTTGTAAACTTTATGTCCACAAACTTCTGTCACATGTTTCAGATATCGGGTAACAGGATAGAACATAATTACGTCTGTTAGAAATTGTCCAATTCCGTGTGAAATCTGAAAAAGAGGTTCCGTTTAGTAAAATACACACCGTATTCCATTCTATAATAATGTTAGTTCTTTAACGATTTTGTGTGACACTACATAAGTCGTTGGAAAATGAAAACTTATTTGAAATAGGAATGTGTCTTATTATTGAAGTTTTAACTTGTAAAAGATTTTGTTAATATTAATATTGGTTAAGTATGCATGGCAAAATAACCACTCTGATCCGCAGTTGTCGATGAACATCCTGTAAATATGAATTTGTTGTCTTAGCGGTTATTTGTCAATATTGTGATCATATTTACCAGAATAAAAGTTAAAATTATATCACACAATTTAAATGATTGCTTTAATAATTTCCTCTATAATTATATTATAATTAATTTATGATACAATTTAAGATTTATCTTAACAACATATATAACACTTACGTTGAACATAAAGCTCCCATAGTGTTAATTAATATTTGAATAATTACCTGTTCACTTCTATTTAACATCTCAGTTCCTAAGTAATAATTCCGTGCTTCGATTGCTATATGCGTCGTATTTCTATCTTTCAGAAAATAAATGTCTTGCAATACTTCGGCCATTAGTGATAATGGGTCATTTGCCAAAAACTTATACAATGTTTCATTTGAATACAGTGCTGGAATGTTGAAAAATAATTCATGCATCACAGAAGGTATATATAATTTCATATATTATATATATTTAAAACATTATTTACTTCCTAAAGGTCTTTTCTTTCAATTTCTTCAAGAAAATTTGCATATTTATCATAGTTAAGGTAATAATTAATAAAATTGATGCTTCGGTTGCTTTCCAAAGTTACATTTCTCAAAAATGTACAGTAATAAAGAAAAATAGTTTACTGGTTCGTACTTAATGTAGAAAAATGTATGAGAATCTAGTTTGTTATAAATCCACAAAAAGCAATTGAAATATATGGAAATAAGATTCAAATTTGAAAGACAGCGTCATTTTGTTAATCTGAATGTAAGCATCATAGAATATCAAATTCCCAACAAGTACATAGATCTAGCTAATACATTTTATGTGTCAGTAAGTTCATCATAATAAAAATAGCCCAGTCTTTGAATTCATTGGATATTTGATTTTTTGTTTTATACCTTTTACCACTGAGATTGCTTCATTACGACGGGATCCAATAATATACGGACTTCTCTTCAACTCGCATTTTTCGATCAAACTTGTAGGGGACTCCGTCAACAATGCATCCTCGGATTGTGGTTCCACTACCGGCCCCCATCCCGCGTTCAAGAGTTCTTGCACATGTGTAAAAACCAATGAAGTTTCCATTACTTTTGATGCAGTCAAACGTCGCAGACAATTCACTAATGAATACGAGTCGTTGGTCGGACAATTGTTCTTTCCCCCAAGTCTTTTTGCGGCGTCAAAGTACAAAGGATCATGATGAAATGAAAACGCTTGGGACACGAGTCCACCTTGCATTATGACGCGACTAAACATATCTGTAAGAACAATGACACATAACACTGTCAAACATGAGTTTTCATCTGCAGTTATCGTTGCAACTAGCAGTTACGTGATTCTGTTTAAATTAGTTTGTTAGAATTTTTGTACAATTCTCCCGACAGCATCATATTTTTGAAAACAAGAGCTTTTCTGAAGATGTACATTTTTTTTCTAAAGACACTCTTTTGAAAAAGAAATAATGGAATAAGTACGTTATAGCAAAATTCGACGTATTTACTTACGATTTATATCTGTATTATTTCAAAAAAATAAAAATGAACGTACGTTCCGACTTGTTCGAAAGTGCGTGTATATGAACGCACACGCTACCCATGTTTTGACCAGCCAACGTCACTTTCTTAGGATCGCCGCCGAAAGCACGTATATTTCGCTGAACCCATTTGAGTACTAAGAGTTGATCCTTTAAACCAAAGTTGCCTGGGGCGGCTGCATCTCCCGTGCTGAGAAATCCAAAAGGACCTAATCGGTAGTTGTGGGTGACAAGTACGATGTCTTTGTCGAGCAAGTAATCAGGTCCGAAATAATGGTCACTCGAATTTCCTCTCATGAATCCACCGTCATGAGTGAACACCATTACAGGTAGCAGGACGGTTCCCTTCAACTTTTTCATACATAAACATTTTACAATGTTTTTTCTTAAATTTTGGATAACATTATTGTACTTGAATAACGAAGACTGTTGGTAAATAGTAATGGTATAACCTCGAAGATAATCTAAACAATTTACTTCATAATTTCATGGTTATTTCTGCATTTATATATTCATAATATAAAGAATATATCATAATATACTGCTAATTCTGCATTCATTGTTTAATATTGTAATTATGTAAAATTTATAACTCAATTTCAATACTAACTTCTGTTTGCTTGAACTAGATAGTGTATAAACGTATTTAATCAATTTGAGGTAAACATGGAGAGAAAGTTCAAAATTTTAGAAGGATTTTAGAGAAAGGTTCAAAATCTTAACTCCACCGTATGAAATATTCTAATAAATTCTAATTGTAGTCTGATGTACATATTTACCTACCTTTGGACTATAAACGTTCATTGTCAAGCAATTTTCTTGTCCTACAACAACTTTGTTTGCAACATATTGCAAACACAGCCGACCCTCTTTGTGCGCTTTTAGAGTTCCTCTCCATGCTTTCTTTGGGACGGGACTACGAAATCTTTGAAGAAACAAGTAAGATAGTCAATTGTTGACATTGTACAATTTGTATTTGATACTTAAGAATGTAATGCGTGGTCGCAATCGTTAATACGTATAAAGAATTCACGCCTGATATACTACAGTTAGTGTAGCAATTCGCTGGAAAATGTCACGATGAAGGAAATAAAATGCGTTCACTTTACGAGCTGAAACTTTAAACAGAAACTACTATGCCATCTCGGAAGATTTACACGGCACATCAAATTGATTCTGTTAGTGAAGAGCGTCAAATTGTTTAAAATGTCACATGCCCTTAAGACATAACAAAGTAGAATGAATTTTGACAATTTTCATTATTAAAGAATTCCTTCTTATTAAAAGATTATTGTATACGTTTCAATATATATATATATACTTTTAGTTAGAAATTTCGTATGTTTCTACATCAAGTTCTAATAAAATTTAAAAATTCAAGAATGTTAGTTGTAAGTTCTCCGAGAACATTTTTCTGTTTCTGCGATAGCCAACATATCAATAATTGCTTATACACAAATTAAAAGAAAACATTTTTTGTAATGTGGGTAAAAGACTAGTTTTTATAATTAAGTAACGCATTTTGCGTTTTTTTAATTGATCAATAAATAAAAGTAATAGAAAATTATAAAAATTGTCTTGGGAAAAGCAGAAAGACATTTAAGGATGTTTAAAATGTAATGGCACGCGCGACACCCTAAAACATCGAAGGAAGAATAAATGAATGAAAAAAAAGAAAAACTTTGAGAAAAATATGTGTTCACAGGCTTTCGAAGAAATAAATTTCATATTTTAATTCATTTCTGCAAAGTACTCAGTCAATACTTTACAGCTCTGATCACAAGCGCGGAAGAGATGTATGTAACAAAAAATCAGATAAAATTCCTTTTTGCTTGGACAAATCAAATTAGAAAATTCATTGAGTATATGCATAGAGTTTCCTGAAATTTTGTATTTATTAAATTACGATTAAATTTTACTACTATTCTCTGTAGACATTAGTAAATACAGTAATAAGTAATAATGTTTGGTACAAATATTCATGATGTATTTTCAAGTTCAATGATGTGAAAGATGAACAATCACCTGGAAGTAAATTATTTCACAACAAGATCTTTTTCGAAATGAAGGATAAAATTCTTCTCATTTGACATATTAATTACTGAAGATCTACGAAATATTAAAAAAAGAACCTTAGGTTTCCAAGCGGCGGTTCAGCGTAAGGTATTCCGAGAAAAGCAAAAATTTGTCTTCCGTTTCTAGTTTCCATCATTATACCTTGGACGTAACCTTCTTTGATTTGAACTTTCGGTTTATGTAAAATCAACCAAAAATTCATTAACAGAAATATTAGTACGGCTACAATCGCTGATATCAACGAAACGCGGATGACTGTTCTGCCAGTAATAGAACAACGATCGATATTTCTACACCATGGATGACTCAAGTTTTGATAGAAACACATATCGCTCGTCAATCACTCCTAATTGGTACTAAGTAAATACACGCGTTTAAATGTCACGAACAAGTGAATACAAGTGCTACATCAGCAGCAAGCTTAACTAACGCTGCCGTGCATGCATAATTTCTTTGAACCTTGCAACTTTATCGCAGGTTGCACATATTATTTTACTGAAAACTACGTTCACCTGTTATGTAAATTTTATTTACTTCGCACCTCGTTATCTTATTAATTATGGTGTCGCTGCATATCTCTGATAAAATAAATTATTGTCTAGTTACCAGTGTCTGATCGAGCTAACTAATTTGTTTTGAAACTTTAATCTGATGATGCAAATACGTATTTACAAATACGATGAATATTTATATACATGTGTGCATTTATATGTAGATATGTGTAATATATTTTATGTCTCATTTTATCCGCCACATCAGGAATAAAACCTACACATCGACAGAAATAATTGAATACCACTCTAATATTTTAAACTTCAACAACTATTAAGCTCAAGTGCATTAAATATTATTTTATTTTAACAGAATCTTTGCAAAATGAGTTTTTTATTTTCAACCTTTTGTTTGAAGATTCAAAGAGATTTTATGAAGTTTTTGTAGATACATAAACGTAAATATAGATATCAAAGATTAATGAAATATGCGGGAATATAATATTTTTGTCACGAAATTACATTGTAAAAAGGTTCAAATTGTAAATATACTTTATTTTCTCGAAATTTTGGTTAAAATCGGTTTAGAGACGGATAATGAAACATTATTGTCTTTTATATTCCGATTTCTGAATAAAATACCCTTGGAGGTATTGTCCTTCAACGACGTTTGTTAACTTGATCAAAGAACTGAAGGGACAAGTGTAGCAAGGGGACACGACCACTCGCGATGAACGTTGACGCCTTGGTTTCGGCCGCTTCTGATATTGGCTGATTCGCATAAACGAAGATCGCAAATGAAACAGAATACGATAAACTGAATACTACAGTAATACAACTGCTCTTCTGAAAATATTATTATATTTCATATACGCATGAACTAAACATTCTTACTGAATCTCGGAGAAGCTTTATTACTGAGTTAAACCTTTTTTATTGATTTATTTGATTTCATTACCCTATTTGTAGCGCGTTTAGTCTTGTTTTTATCAGAAAAATAGTTCCCATCGATTCGTGATCTTTCCGAATTTATGTTGCTAATGATAAAAGAATCTTTCTCAGTTAGAAAATCTCAGTTAGCTCTGCGTTACAATGTGCTCTTTGATATTGACCGACGGTCTTTTGAAGAAAGGCAACATTAGTTTTCGGAAATTTCTTTTCATTTCAGTATAGTGTATATGCTTTCCAATACAATGAATAATTCTTGCCGTTCTGTATTTAGCATATGGCCAAAATGATATGCTTTCGAAAATCTGCAATTTTGATCGATAGCGACATCCGTGGCAAAACTCTAAAACTGGTAGACAAACGGTACCGATGTGGAAGCTTACGCGGAATGACTGTGACGCTATCTATGACAAAATGTTTGAACTGTTAGAAAGCAAAGTTGGCGCATTTCACAGGAGATGGAGATACCTTATCATCGAGATAACAAGGTTTCTACAATATCATCGAGTGCAAACGAATAAACTAGGCAGTTTTTTCGATGATAGTGTCAATGATATCGCGTCTACTTCGGCGAGCTCTGTCGAGATTGGGGGCAATCTCGATAGCACGAAGCTATTAATTAACTTTAGCTAATTCGATTCCTACTAACAATTTTAAAATCTTGTATTATCGGTAACATCGAGCGCGACACCGAAATGGTATTGGAGTCCTGAGAATCCCCGAAGTCTTAGCAAAAATTTCCATAAGCTGCAACATCTGTACCGTCCGTTGTTTGGAAAATGGTACTTGTCACGGCACAGGGGCAAATGGGGTTTTCTGCTGAGTACGTTAAGTGATGCGACGTGTCAGATCCTCATGCATTCCTAGTGCCGTCTTTCAAACAACGGATGGTGTGTATCTTAAGGTTGTGGCCAATGCTATACATTTTATCGTTCTATCACAGATAGAGCCACTCAACAGAGAACTATGGTTAATATATCACCATAGTGGCTATTATACAAATTATAATTTATATTAAATGAACTGTTTAATATCGTGTCTGATTTCAATGATCGACTTTATTAAAGTAACAATCGTTCATATGTAATAGGATAGTTTTTACCCAAAACAGAATTTTAAGTTTGTGTACTAAATTTATAGTCGCTTCAGTATGCTAGAAGAAGAAAGTCTAGATTTCCCTTTAATCATATAGTATTTTCAACACGAAAGTATGTTTTATTTTATAGCATGTAAGTATTATAAGTCACCCGTCCTTCATATTAACAATTACTTTTTGCAGGTTTTAAATATATTATAATACACATCTTACAAATACAGTATAGCGAATAATACAATAATGTGTACTATCATGTGAGCTTGGCATGCCAATCAGTGCATTAAATGGTATATAATTTTTCGAACATCCACACGTTTTATAATTTTATAGCAGGCTGTAATAATTTTAATGATTAAAGAATTCTGACTCTAATTAGTCGGAGTTCAGAAAATCAAGTTAGGCAAATACAATACCCATAGATTTGAATTCAATGACTTGTAGTGACAAATCCAATAAGCCTAGTGACGAATCCAATACTCAGGGATTCAGTTTGGAACTTTATTTTCAGGACTTTTGGAAATAGGTTCCTAAAGCCCGGAGATCCGTAGACCTCAGGAATAACCCCCGAAAGTTCCCGGTGTCCCCCGCAATTCACCGGATGTAGGACCATTGAGGTTTTAATCTGTAAAAATCCGATACTGCCCTCGGTTCTTTCCCCTAAGGCTTCGAATGTCTTTGAAAGATTTTGCTAACGACAAAAACAAAGGAAAAAAGTATCCACCCCTAAAAATCTCCAAACATTAATTCTTAAGTCAGAGCATCCTTGAGCATCCTTTGAGGAAATCTTTGTGTAAGTTGAGAAGATTCTCAAGACTTAACATCATTTCCGGTTTATTAACACAATAATTTCTTTGAACTATGACGATCAATGTGTTTGGTGATGTTGTAAAATTAACTTTGATAAACGATGTCCTGCTGTATTATACAGCGTGTTTGGAAATTGTTGCGCACAAATGAAAGAGTGCATACAACTCGCTAAATTGAGTAAAAAAATTCCAATAAACATGAGTTGAAATTTCAATGGCGTCCATGATACAAATAGGTTTCGTTTGAGAAAAATATATATAATGACCGAGTTGAGAATACCGAATTATTTCAAAAAATATTAGTGATACGAAGAAACATGTTAGACAAAGGTTACCGGTTGTGAAACATTACATATCATGGCAGTAGATATTTGAGCGTGAAGTGACCCTGAAATATCCTGCAAAGGTGACGTTGCAATTTTTCTTGTTCCGTTCTTATAAAGCCAACCTTCCTCACTTTTCTGTAAGAGTTAGCGAGTGAATAGATCTGAGTCAATGAGTCGAATTCTCATAGTTTTGAGTTTTGTTTTCAGTAATAAACTCTGTTATTGTTGTTTTTTTTTAATTAATCCCTACAATAGCTAACTTATTACATAAATTTTCTTGTAATAATACAACTCCAAAGGAAAAAAAAATTAACAATTTACGTTTAATGTTTGGATAATCTAAAACACTTTGTTCAAATCTATTTAGTTCAACCACTGAGATTTTAGTATTTCACAGTTATTATACATAGTATCGAATCGGTCTAGTTCATTTGGACTGAAAATAATTTTGCTCACGTAAGATTACATTCTTGTAGTTGCATAGGATTAATCGGTACAAACGTATGTGTTTCATTTTCAGTTGTGTCAAAATTTCGCGCGAATCTATCTCCACAGGTAAAACAACGTTGCCGAGCTTCATTTTTCAGATGAAATATTAATCAGGGACGCGTCAACGGGGCTGGAAAAGTTTGTATTTTTGGACATTTAGGGATATTCGTGGATGTACTCTTTCGATGACGTGCACTAATTACGGCCGGCAAAAAATTGCGGACCACCGTTAACAACGTGGACGCGCGTGATCTGCTGGACTTTCTTATTACTCAAGTAAATATTTCATTCATCGTTTTGATCGGCGACATTTGATTATTACGGGTTACATTAGATATACTCGGAGACACGTCAAATTAGGCATCGAAACATTCAAAATATGCCAGTTTTAGCCAAGAATTCTGTTCCTCTATATTTATATTTGCCTGAATTTCGTGAAGTTTTCAAATCCCAATTTTTCCTCGTTAACTAGAAATTCTATTTGCTCCCTTATTTTCCTGTCGGCTCATCAACGATGTTGAAAAGGAAAATGTTCGCGCATCCAGACTGTGGTTGCGGCAGGACATCCATCGAGAAAGCGGAACATCGGCTGCTTTTTATGCCGATACTTTACAACCTAGGAAAAATGACGTTCTTTGTGAGCACGTTGTGCGTGGTGGCCGAAAGTAAGTGAGATTGAGGAAGATTCTCAGTCTTCTTATTCCTTTTGATAGAGAAATTGTGACGAAATCGTGATTTGAACTACCGTAAATGCGTGAACAGAAGTTTAACTAAAAGCAAGTTTCGTATGGACAATTGATTTTGGAATAAGTATATATATGCGCGCAGAATATCACATAGTTGTTGAAACGAAATCTAATTTTAATATTATTTCTAAGTTTTTATTCTATGTAAGGTGAGATGGTATATTTGCGTCTGACCTCGCGTGTGTTTTATGGCGCATCAGTCACCTTATGCAATGTATGACATTCATTTGTTTTATTTTACTTCTTCCTTATTGTGTGCCTGAGTTCTTGGAAGTAACTATCATTTTATGCGACTATAAAGTATTTGAGCGCTGTTTCACTCGAATGGATATCATTTCTGTAAAACTTTAAATTTTTTGTAAAATTAACTGAATTAATTCAATCTTTAGGAGAACAAAACTCGGATAATTTCTTTTTATATGTGTATAAGAAATGTTCCACTAGCAGTTTCAAATATACAAAAAATGAAGATTTAAGTGGGTTAACAATGTTTCGACCGTTAAGACTTCCTGCTCTTTCGGTT